CACAGGATGAGGTCGCCTGTGGCTATTTAAGTCATTTGCCACCCACGACCGAAGGAGACCTCAGTCAGGACAACTACAGGTCTTCTCAGGCAGATAGTTGGCTTTGAGCAATTTCCATATATCCCCCCAACAAAGAAAAGCCAGTCTCAGCCTTGCCTGGTTGGCTTTCTCCTCGGGAAGCAAATGTAGTCCCTCCCCGTGTTTGAAGCCACAGCCTATGGGGGTCCGCCACGGCCGGTTCCTGGCAGCAGCATGAAGGAGTTTGCTGTCTCCCTGGGCTGGGGATGAGCTCAAGCAGCGATGGGAGGCGAAAGCCTTGTCCTTAAGTGACTCTTGGATACCATGTGCTGTGGGGGTGGGCTGAAGAGAAGAGGAAGAAAGACTTAAATAGAAATGGGGAGATTTAAAAAAGATCGAAGGGAGCCAGTTAAAACAGGAAGAGTAATAATTCAGGAGGGATGAGAAGGTGAAAAAGCCATGTTTTCTTCTTGTTTTCTGTAGTATTAAAGACAATACCAGAAGCCTTTTAAGCACTTTGCTGATCTCCTTCATCATAGGGGCTTGGCAAAAGAAGGTGTGAGGTGGGGACCGGAAGGGGAGAGTGAGACACCAGAAGGATCTTTGCTTCTATCCCAAAATCTGCTTGTAATCTGACTCCAGAAATGGATCTTCAAGCTGAAGGAAGCTCTGTAGCTTCCCCCTCTGGCCCCCTACAACCTCACTTTAAATAGTTTAGCACCTTTTAAATCTGACAGGGAGAATTCTGGGAGATGGGCCAAGATGTGGGCTGTCCTGAACCTTGCCTCACGGTCTTTGTCATCATTAGACATCTTCTGCCAAGCAGGTGTGAGACCCATCCCACGGCTGGATGAAAGGGCTGTTTTACCCGAATGTCAGTGGTACAAAGGAACAAGGGAAAAGGCAGAAGGGAAAAGGCAGGAGATGCTGCAGCACAGTGGTTTGACACACAGCGTCTCGGGTCTTGGGTCGGATACAGTCCTGCTAGTGCAGCCTCATTACCGAGGTTAATTATTCTTCCTGCTGTGCTCTGCTGCTTCCAGTTTCTAGCCAGTGATGTTGCACTGCACAGCAGAGATGTACCTGCAGTGTAAAAGGAGACAGCTTGCTTTGCCCTGGAGGGCCTTGATGCTTGTTGCCTGTTCACCTGTTTCCCCTCTTCAGCCTCCTCCCAAGTCCAGACATCGGTGTTCAGCTTTGTGTGGGGCTTCCCGAAAGTGTGGGGCTTCCCCCAAGCCGAAGCTTTGCTGGGCAGAGACGAATCCAGATGCAATCCTGGCCTATATTTGCCACAAGTCAGCAGCAGCTGGGAAGTGATATGTTCCTGTCTAGTTAATTATTTCCCTGGGAATAAAAGGCAGTGATTTTTGTTTGGTCTCAGTAGTGAATCAATCGTTTCTGAGGTATGATGTGCAGACAGACATGGAAGAGCAGCCGCTGTCCTTGGCTGTGCGTGCATGTCAGTGTCTGGCTGAGCAGCTTTGCTCTGGGATGGAAAGCAGGTGAGATCTCTGGTTTCACCATAGGGCCATTCTTCTCCCAAAGGAAGCTCAGGAGACCCTCAACACTCATCACAAACATCATGTAAACTGCTGACCCTGAAAATATGGAGTAATCTGTGATTTCCAGAGTGTTTCCCTTGTCCTCTCCTTCTGGAGCTCTTTCCCAAAAGGTTGGCTTCAGCTCAGAGCAGTTTCAGGTTCACAGAGCCTCTCCATCCATGTCCTCATTCTGCTGCAAAGGCAGAAGCTTTCTCCTCTGTGCTTCTGTATGATAGCTGTAGTATGTGGCTCTTGATGAGTTTTCTTCTCCCTTGACTGTTGCCCATGAGCAACACGTGGTGGCCTGTGGCACAGGACACCAAACAAACCTCTTCTGTGGAGACTTCTGGGGACTGAGAGGAGGTGGTGTATGACTTTGTGGTCATACATGTTTGTTGGGGGCTGGTAAGATGAGATTTTGGGGTACTTTGAGGTGACCGATCAACCTGAAGCACTCGTAGTTGGATGAGGACAAAATCTGATTCCTTGCCTTTTTATGTGTTAAGATCCATTTAATATAAATCTCCCATAAACACTTTAGAGAAAGAGAACAATTTGCTAGGAGAGGGACAGTCTTAACAGACTTGTCTGCAGAAACACTCAATGCTGCCCATGTGCACTTTATTTTAAATAAAGAAGGTGGGGTTTTTGTTGGTTCCTCATCCAAGCATACTGACGTTTTTCTTTTCAATGCATACTGGGCAGGGTCAGGCTGACTTTTTGCTCTTCAGGGCCACCAGTGCCTCTCAAAAACCAGTTGTGCCTATTTCTGGCAGAGGAGCCCAGGAGCTCCAGTGGTGGTACCTCCTCATACCACTATCTTACCTGTCCCTTCAAGGAAGAGGCTCAAGTTCAAGCTACCATCTCCTTCACAAGGGGTGTATTGCCTCATTCAGTGATTCTTTCACTACAAACTCTGGGTAGATGAGGTGGTACAGGTGAATGGGAAAGGCTTTGCTACCTACTCATCTTCAGTACTGCAAAACTTCCTCTGCTCTAACGTTCTCTTAACTTTATATGTGTTTATACCAAAAGCTGACAATAAGAAGTTCCTGTTCGTGGGGAAAAAGAACAATGAAAGCTGTAATGGAGGGGCAGGTGAGGGAGGAGAGAAAGGGTAGCCACCCTGACGACTGTGCAGACACCGTGAAGGAGTGGCAGCTGTAGGATTAGCCCTTTCTCTCAGAACTCAAGGGAAGCTTTCCATAAACCACTGGCACCAGCCCACCAGCCCCAATATAAGCTCAGCTTCAGTGGCCTCTGTGTAAGCCTAAGCACCACCACATCAATTATTTTTTTTTCACCCCCATAGCTCTGTTGCTTCATGCATTGAGATGGACCTGTGCCTGTGAAACACTCATATACTTGAACACTTCTGTAGTGCCCTTTGCAGGGTCTGCCTGTGGTAAGCTCTGCCTCTCAGAGCATCAAGTGGAGAGGCACAGCAGGGCGGATGGACATCCACAGTAGGAGAGGTACACAGAAGGCACCCAGGTGATCAGGATGTCTGGAGACAGTGCCAGTTAGGAAAGGCAGTAGAGCAACATTTTGTTTATTCTTCATGTTTATGGACATTCATGTCACTTTTCAGTGACTTGGAGCTACAGGGCCTGTGCAGGCTGTTACCGTATGCAGGGTGAAACTCTGTGTGTTTTACTCCTGGGAACAGCCCCAAGGTAAAGATAACCAAGTACTGTTCTCAGGTAAGTATTTGTCCCTTAATCACAGACTAGGAGGCTACCAAATGGCTCATTTTTGCCTGTTCTTTCTCCTTACCAATGTGCATCAATGAGATCTCGAGTCCCGCTTGCTTCCTCACTCCCTGAGCTTGGGTCCTCCCAAAAACCTCTCAAGGAAACAGCTGAAAGGAAAAAGCAGAAGGAGGGTGCTGGGCACCCCTCTAGCCAAGAGAGAAGGGATGTGAGTGAAAGAGAGGAGGGGACCTTCAGGCTGAGCACACTCCGCATTTTGAGGCTTTTGAAAACCTCCACCAGGTCCTCTGGGATAGGGCTGAGTTGTTCATAACCCCAGTGTGACCAGGTGGATGGTCTCTCCAAACACGCTTGGTTCAAGTCTTCCATGCATCATAAAGAAGCAAGAAAGGACAAATGGTTGACCTGGGGGCTTTGCTGTCCTGTCTATTCTTCTAATAGGCTGTGCCTTAAAAGCACAGGTTGAGTCTTTCATGTTCAATGAGGAGCTAACGTGGCCTACAGTCGTATAAGCACAGTATTCATTCATATACATAGAGATATACAGATACCTAGCTGTGTGATGTTTATGCTGGCCCTTTCCACCAAGAGGATATGGCACACATAGGAATATATCAGTACTTCAGCTATTTTATACCAGTGGTTTCAAGTTTCTATTTCAGCTAATGTAGAGAGAGAGTCAAAGAGACTGATCAACAGGCAGGAAAAAAAAAATCTATAAAATCTTGCTTTGCAGTTCATCTGGTAAAGAATATATATGTAGTGTGTAAACCTTGTTTCTCATCAGGTTGATTCACATTTGTATAACGAGCTCTGATTCTCCTGTCCCTTGTGCTGTTATTTCCCCTAACATCACTTACCTCTGACATAAGCCAGTACAAGAAAGGTCAGAACGGTGGTTTTCATCTGTAGCAAGAGAGGATGTGCGTACCCTACCTATGCTAACGAGCCTGAACGACTGGAGAATATATTTATAAATGTATTTATAAAGACAAAACTATCTCCAAACTCTCCTCCATCCATTGCACTATTGTCAAACCTAATAAGCTAAGACAATTGAAATCTGCCAGCATAGGAAAGCAGGGAGACCTAATGCTGTCGCAGTGACCTGAACAAGGGGGATGCTGCACTCACCAGGGCTGAGGTGCTGACCCTTTGCTTTGCAAGTGACCCCCTTGACTGCAAACTGGTGCCATGAACTCCTTCTCAGTCTGCAGTCAAAAGAGGTTTCTCATGGGCTACCATGGGATACCCAAGTATCTAAGCAGGGAGTAACTGTGCAACCAAATGCTTAAAAGCCAAACAGCTTGAATCCTTTTACTACGCATTGCCCAATGCACATTAACCAGTTATGGCTGGATGGGTGTGTTCTCACGACATCTTGGTCGTGGGAAAAGATGCTATGTAGGCTTTGGGCTAAAAGTCAGCTAAAGCTGGAAGGTCATGACCAACAGGAGGGCTTAAGGGTGGGTGTCTATGAATGTTTTCACTAGCAGGAGTATGCTGTCTATCCCATGTGCACCAACTTCAATATAGCTGATGTTCACCTGAAAAGGGAAGGCAGGCCCAGCCCAAACTTGGCTGCAGCTGTTTGGAACTGGCCTGGAGTCTGCTCTGGTGTTTCTTTGGGGTTAAGATTGATGATTTGGCTCAGTGCCACGATCTTCAGCCTCAAGAGCTTGGGCTCAGACCTGGATCAGCCTTCCCAGAAGTTCAGGAACTTTGATGTCCCATATCAGACCACCTGCACTTACCCTATCTTTGGCCTGAACTTTCAAGAAGAAAAAAGTTCAAACAGGGACCATGGTGTTTGGTTTTGCACTGCACTGCCAGGCAAGAATATCCTGATATAGGGACTCACTGAAATCTTCAATAGCATCCCTAAGACCTTCCTTTCCCTCTCAAAGCCTTTCGCTGCTCCTAGCATGTTAATGAGTTGCTACAGGCTCCTGCAGCAGAACTTGCAGGATTGAGTGGTCTTGGCAGAGTAGATGCAAAGGGCATTGTGTTTAATAAACAGGCTAAACTTTACAGTGGCCTTCCCTATGTCTTGAAGTGAGATTTGGTCTCTGGATGTTAAGTGCTGGGCCAACGAACATGGAGAATACAAATTGGCTCCGTGTCCCTCTGGCAGCGAGCAGGCAGGCACTTTCCTCCTGCCCTGGGACACTCGGGGCAGATTCCTTGCAGATTCCTATTGTCCTTACTAAAGAGGCATGATTTGCAGCGGTGCTGGGTGCCTGCTGGGGCAGTCCCGGGGGGTCAGCACCACTGAGAATCAGGCCGGGGGGTCCCAGCAAGGGCAGGAGCAGGGGGAGCAGGGCAGGGGGCAAAGAGGAGCAGTGGTGCTTGCTGACGCTCAAACGCAGGTCTTCCGATGGAGGAACCTGCCACAGGAGGAGGCCTTTCAGACCCCACAAGTCAAACTGCACTGAGTCACAGTTAGTCGTCATCATCATCATCGTCGTCATCGTCGTCATCATCATCATCATCATCATCGTCATCATCGTCGTCATCATCATCATCATCGTCGTCGTCGTCATCATCTTCGGTATTTATCTTCCCAGAAAGCACATCCTCTATCCAGTCCTCGAGCTCCTCGGCTGTGGGCAGGTCGTCATCATCTCTGATCTCCATCCAGATGCTGTCAGCCTGTGGGGACAGGTGGTGGGCGATTAGCCGTCCTCAGAGACACAGAGAAGAGTTCGGGTTCACTGCTATTGTAGGGGTGAGGGTGGGACCACGGGTGGGATGCAGGGGTGGGGGCATTAACTCCTTCCCTGCCACAGCCTGCAGGCAGGCTCAGTCCCAGCGTCCCTCTGCCCATGTATAGGCATCACCACTTCCCCCTGAAGAGCTGTTGCTTCTGACTAGGGGCAGTGGGACTGGTCAATGGGTTTAGGTGAGCGCGCAGTGCTGTTTGGCCAGACGTGTGCCCACTGCCTATTCCTCTCCTGCACTGCCTGCACCTGTGGGCAAGAGCGTCATCCACCTGACCTGTTGTCTTCACCCTATCTGGCCAGTCCTGTAGATTCCCAGTCTACATAGAGAGACCGATGCCTGATCCCTTAGCATTGCCTCACTTCACAGGACATCACAGTGTTTCCCTCCTTCCTTCCAGAGCCCTTCTGGGACCTCTTCCTTTAAGCTGTCAGCACCCGTTCTCCCCAGCCTTTTTTACCACCACCTTTGCCTCAGGGCATTGCTCTGGACTCTTCACATGTAGTAGTTGTTCCTGCTCTCAGAAAAGCATTTTCTCAAATCATCTCAACCATTCTTCAGCAGAAGAATGGTGAAAAACTGATGCCCTGGACTACAGGTGCCCCCTGCTCTTTCTTCCCAGCTGTCTGCATTACTTCCATAAAGTGGGGGGGAGGGGGGGGGGGGGGGGTGGGGGGAGGGATTCAGTAAGAAGACGCTGTCTAAAATGCAGTGAGAAGATGCTGTCTAAGTTGTGGCTGTTACCCAGGGACAGGAAGCATAACTTAGAAGGTTTCCCCTGGAAATTAAAGGTTTTCTCTCTGCTTTGCTGTAAGTTCCTTTGGTAAATGCCTAGGAAAGCCCCTTTCCCTCCACGGTCTCCCCTCCATAAAATATGATCAGCCTCCTATTTTGTGGAGGTGCTGTGAGGTTATCTCGTTCAGCTTTTGATGTTGCAGAAGCAAGTGCTTTTCATATTTTAGGAGATAACTACGAGCTTTTGCAAATGCACCCAACTTCTAACCCTGTCTGTGGTACCTAATTCTCTTTGGTTTATGGCTTGCTGAAAAGCCAGACCAATTTCTGCTCAAGGAAAGCTGTTTCTCCCTTATCATATATTCCTCCTGAAACAAAAATCCCTCCTGAAATCAAAATTGTGGAGAGGCGTGCAGCTCTTGCTTCATGCAAATAATTTTGTTCCTAACCTCAGGACAGTCCATGCACCAAAAATTGATACCCATAAATAATGGCAACAGAAGCAGGCCCATTGCACCCAGAGAAGATGCTGTGAAAATAAAGCAGCAGTGTTTTGCAGAGCATTATGGCTCTAGTCCTGAGCCACTATGATGTGACGGGCCAGCGGGGACTGCTGGGAACTCTGGTGTTTGTATTGGCAGGTTTTTAGAGAAGCGATGGGGTCACAGGGGTTATGTCCACCGAAGCCAACAGCAGTGTTTATTTTTACTCCGTTGTGTAAGCCCCACTTTGTACCTGTGTAACTTGGCTGAAGGCAGTGATGTCACACTGAAATAACAAAATGAGCTCAGTGTTTGTTTTAGATATCGCCCGCCAACCTAGAACTTTCTTAAATGTCTCTCTTGAGGAATAGAAAACAGGCTTAAAAGGAATGAAATAAAAACTGCAAATACTGTAATCAACAACTTGAAACATTTACTGTATCAAAGCTAGATGGTGCATGGGATTTTACAGGTCTCTGAGTGACTGCTGGATAAAAAAGTGTATGTTACTGCCTAATACTGCTTTCTATACAATTTTCTTGCCACTGACAATCCTACTTCCATGAATTTCTGTTGATAGCTGTTTGATGCAGCTTTGACATGACTTAAACATGGCCTACTGCAGTGAATATAATGAAGGGAGATACTAGTGGACTAGTAATAAGGAGAAAAGACTGGAAGACTTGGGTTCCATTTCTGACTATTTTGTTTGTTTCTCCCATGTTCTTAGGTGACAGATGCTGCATTGGCCCTCTTCTCTTTTTGCTCTTCTTTAATATTTCTGCTAACAAGCCTTAACCCACTGGGTTCTCACTCTCTAGGTGTCTCTCCTATGGTCTGGCAGATGCTGCTCTATTATATGCAAAGCGCTGCTCACATCCAGCCAACGCTGCATCGTCTCCGTGACTCCCAAGCCAGCCTCTCATTCCCCTCAATGGGAGGGACAAGATCCAGGACCTCCACTTCCTTCATAATACCACCGGTTTGCCTTCCCTACTACATCTCCCATCCCGCAGCATTTGTTGTAACAGGAGGCACGAGCATCCTTGCTGCCCCTCTTTTTCTGGGGAGGTACAGGAGAGAGGATGTGGGGACTGGGAACAAGGTTGTTGGTGGGGCCAAGACGAATGCCTAGCCCTGGAAAGTTGTCAAGCACCAAATTACACATGCTTATTCAGTGGAGAGATTTCTGCTTCCAGAGATACTTACATACCCACACAGGTTCATTTCAAAGAGATTAAAATACTCAGCACTTAACCATCAAGAATATATTAAGGTAATAAATGAGCCAGGCTGGAATGAGCTGCATTATGTGCCCTCTGGTCATCTGGACTTTGTCAGAAAGAGGAAAAATGGTTTTTCTCTGTAGTCACGGCCGTGATGCATGTTACATTGCACTCAGCAGCTCTCCCTAGATCTCTGCTAATAGGGGTTGAATGGGTCCTCCTTGCACCTGCCTTAAAATCTTGCAGTGTGTGGATAACCTGACATCAGTCATGCGTCTTGCTGGCTTGAGGGCAATTGTGATGAAAACAGCAGCTGCTAGAAAGCTGTCCTGATAGCTCAGCTGTGGATGCCACCCCTGCCACAGCCGTGCCAAAGCAGCGCCTGTATAGCTCTGCAGCACTGCTGGCTCTAGGACAGTGTGGAAACCCATCACTGCTACCATGCATGGGGTGGACATGCCTCCTCTTCCCACCCAAAGCCCTCCAGTACTACCTTCATGGCAGTGGCTGAGGAGGAGGGGGGCTTGGGTGAACCCCAGTATAACCTCTGTACCCCAGCAGGATCCCTCCATCACCAGTTTATGTCGTACTTGTTAAGGCTGTGTATTTATTTGGTTGGTTTCCATCTGCGCAGTTTTCTCCTGACATCTGTTGAGGACCATTTTTCCCTCCTACACTCAAGCTGTGCCGTTCTGCTTCTGCTACAAAAACACCCTCCTTTTTCTCCTCTTCTCCTCCCCTAAGCACGACTTGCTTTCCCCCCTACACACGCACTTTTTCTCTACACACCCACCCAGGTTCAGTCAGAGCAGGGCACAGATAAAAGTGCACACTGTGGGTCTGGGTTGAAATGTGAGACCTTGAAACCAAAACCTGGCAAAGTCCTGAAGCTCAGACCACAAGGGCTGGTCCTGTCCTCAGCAGATGTGGTTTGTGTGCAACTCAGATGTCAGAGATGTTATAAACCCCACAGCACATGGGAATGGTGAGGTCTTTACACTTTTTCCCTGCGCGAAAAGCCTCATCTACCGGCACTTAACAGAAGTCCCACTGATCCAGGCAGACCTCAGATCCCATCCTTTCTAGCACCCAACTTTGAGATTTCTGGATTTTCTGGACACATGCTACTCACGTCTGTGACATTCACCACCCCGATCTGTGGTCTGAACAGGTCAATCTTGAAGGTCTTCTCCCAGTAAGTGATCAGCTGCAGGAGTGAGGGAAAAAAACTCTCAGACAAGGTTGCCCACAACACCCCTTTGCACTAATTCAGCTGTGGCGCGAGGAGTGTGCATCAACGGGTGCATGGGAGGGAAGAGAGGCTGAGTGCAATCTTGGGCTGCCACACATGGCAAAGGGAAGTGACAACTCCAAGGATGTTCCCAAGCCACCAGCTTCATGGAAGGCAGACTCGAATGTGCAGCCCACAGGGATCAACCCGTAGTCCCGTTTCCCATCCTTCCCCATCCCCAATTCCGTGGGGTAAATCTTGCGCCCATGCACACACACACACATGCACTTCATCCATGAATTAAACCAAGAAAGGCAAGGAGGCCCTGCCACTCACCAGAGGAAAGTCATCGGGGTCAATCCAGACAATGCTGAGGTCAGGATTATCGGTGTTGTCCCTGGCAACCTGCTTCAGGATTTCCAGGAACTCAAAACCATCTGAAATGATACATGAACGGCTGTAGTTCTCTCCTGCCAACGCGCAGGCACTTTTTGCTTGTGGGGTTTTCAGCTTCCTTTACCCCCCTATGCACACAGGAGTTGTTTATAGTTCTCATTAAAATGCTGTCTCCCAGCTCTTTCTTCTGGTAATAAGGCTTTTAATTTTGAGCATCCTCCCCGGGTATTGAAATTAGTTACACATGAATTAAGTCTTGTAATCCTTCCGTGCAGTGGAACAATGTCACTATTTTCTTGTGGTGAGGGAGGAACTCAGTGCCCAAGAGGCCAGAGCTTTTCGGCACACTGATGGTGCCGAGAAGCACCGATGCCACAGATTTTCAGGAGCTGATGCCCACGGGTTTCCCACATGCCCATCACACACCCAGCCCTCAGCACTTTCCCGGAACCACACAGTGAAATGGATGCAGAGTTAGGGAGAAAATCCTGGAGCTGAGGTGGAGGAGACGGCTTCTTTATTTATTTTTTTTTTTTCCCCCCAGCCAGCCATCTAATCTATTTCCAGAATTTGAATCCCAGCTAGCACACCCTCTAGCGTAAACAGCCAGAAGCATCCCAGCAACCCATCCCAGCTGGGGCACAGGGCTCCACAATGCAAACAAAGCAAACGACACTGCACTTTCTGGAGTGATGGGGAATCACACAAGGAGGAAAACAGTCTCCTACCCGGGTCATCTTCTTCAGCGAAGGCCACGATGTGGATTCCCTCCATGTCATCCTCCTGGAAATGACAAAACTATTACTGATGGGCCAGATAGGAAGGACACAGTCCAAGCGGTTGCTGGAGGTGAGCAGCGATGGGGTGCCTCCAAATGAAAAGGACGATTGCAAAGTAAGGCTTGACTGTGGCCCCACCCAGATGCCAGAAATGGGACCTGAGGTGAGGCCAAGTCATGGAGGTATTAGGCGTTGAATTGGGTAGTTCAGGTAGCATTGCTGAAACCCTTCAGCTAAGGATGAGGTGGACACCCTGATGGCAAGGGCGAGGGAGCTTCTCATGTTGTGGGGCAAAACCTCGCCTGTGGAGAATGTCAAGGACTTTCTAGCACGGGAATATGGGCTCACCCTCCATGCCTGAGGCCACCTACCCTCATAAATTGTCTGCAGCCAGGGGATAGTTTGCAGGGAAAAAAAGATGTGCCACCATGCTCAGCCCCCAGACATGCTCCTTCTGGGCCGGCAAAGGTTTTCTCACAATAGGAGAGGCGAGGTGGCTCACTTGGGCTCCTTTTGGGAGGTAAGGGGTCTCTAGGTGAAGGTGTCCATGAGCAGTGGGGGGAATGGAGTGGGAGGCAGGGCAGAAATGAAAGCCTCACCAGTCCAAGGGAAAAAAAGATGTGCCACCATGCTCAGCCCCCAGACATGCTCCTTCTGGGCCGGCAAAGGTTTTCTCACAATAGGAGAGGCGAGGTGGCTCACTTGGGCTCCTTTTGGGAGGTAAGGGGTCTCTAGGTGAAGGTGTCCATGAGCAGTGGGGGGAATGGAGTGGGAGGCAGGGCAGAAATGAAAGCCTCACCAGTCCACTGACTGCTTTTTTCCATGAGACACATGAGTGATGGGTAATGATATTGGCAAAAGTCAAAAGATCTGCCGGCCGGTTCATCATCCGCCTGCTATGAATGTCATCTCCAAATTATCCCACAGATTGGCTTCGCCTTCCTCACCCGCTGCCGTTCCCGGTTTCCATTTCAATTGCTTTTAATGCAAGGAAAAATTCCCATCTAAATGCTAATTTCTTTTCCCTTCTGAGCCCAGAGGTGACAAAGCCACCATCAAAAACTGAAAGGAAAAGAAACCCCAAAAGATTAAGTGGAAAACATTATCTTTAAAAACAATAGCGGATGCTGGGCCTTTGCTGGCATCTTCAAGGAATACGTTTTCAATGGGGCATTCTAGGCAGATTTACTTGACATTCAGACCGCTTACAGCTGGCAAAATCTACACTGTTGCTTTTTCTCCATATTTGCCAGACAGCACAACACAATTTATGTGTATATGCGATATACAGTTATATAGAGATTCTATTCTGACTCCCAAGGCAACAAACAAAGCTGGAGTAACTCCAGTGAAGGAGTTACACTGAGGATGTTCTGAACTTGCAGAAAGATCAGAATCCAGCCTGTTGCCTCTTCTAGGTATGAGCCTCCTGCTCACAGCAGAGGCAAGCTCTGCATTCCCAGGCTGCTTGTAAAGCGAACATCCCACCTCTGACAATTCACACTTTTCCTAGGGTTGCTTTAGAATATGTTCAGTATGAAAACAAAACTACAGTGTGTGAAATTTGAGTCCCACTGAAGCCCCATGAAGAAACTTCAAGGGACTTCAGCTATCTTCTCTACAGAGTCTGTATTTCAAAATAAAATGAAAACCAATCATGCCTAAGTGACTCATAACTCCTGCTTCAGTATTAGTGTTTTTTGCCTTGTTGTATTAAAGACTCCTAAGGTTTTTGGTGCTTTGGAGTCCTGCAGCGTTTCATGTTACACAGCCAAGCAAGGAGGCAACTGAACGCTGTTATAAACATGTTGAGCTTTTTGGAGAAATGACTGCATCCTTCTTAATGTCTGTAAAGCACCTGTTCAGCTTTGTTTTTCACCACTCAGCTGGCACTCAAAGGTCTCTGGCTGGCTATTAACATCATACTCATTTACAGTGAAGGGATAATTTGTTATATACGACTTTTCTTTCATGTTCACCCTTCCCCTCTTCTCTACCCTTGCAGACCAGGGGAGTTCTTGGTGTGTGATTGATGCCAAACCACTGGTTAGATCTTCACAATCTCTGACTTGCAGTTTGCTCACAGCATGAGAAGAGCAATCAATGCATGATTTGTTCCATATTCTACATAATTAAGCGAACACTCTGTCCTTGCTTGCAATTTGAATTGTGCCACTGTTCTGGTACCGTTTCGATGAGCCAGCCACCAAAATCACGCCCCCACCAGCACTGATGCCCATTCAGTGAGACAGAGCACAGGAAGGACGTTCTCTGTAGCTACATCATGGATGCTACAGAGGCTCAGCACCTTCATGACACATTTGGTTGGCTTTTCCTGTTCCCTCTGTGGACCAAAGGGGACCCAGCTCAGCTGTCCACCTCTGTTAAGCACACTGTTTGAATTCAGGCACAGGGCACCACAGCCAAGGTTTTATTTTCTTCCCAGAGGAGGGAAAGTGGCTTTTCAAAGAAGGAAAGGTAATGTTTGGCCCCAGCCAGAGGCTGGAGCTCTTGAGCAGTGGTTTCTTGTAGGAAGCTACCGAGGAACGCAAGGCTTCCCACCCGTGCATGCTTACCCACGTCTCAAACATGTCCTCTGGGCGCAGCTTCCGCAAGGTGGCCCTGAAAAGAAGAGAGAAACACTCGTTGAGGGCGCATCCAGCACCGTCACACATGAGGTTGCCAGCGTCATGGAAAAGGTCACCGTGAACACTTCGTTGGTGGTTGGAGTCAGCACTATTGACCACCACATTTTGAATGCAAGCATGGGGGCACGGTAGGTCAGCTTATGCTTTTATTTATGGTGATAAAACCCTGCCCTTGCCCCCATTGGAGTCACTGCAGATGCTGTTTGTGTTTGGGAAGATGAGATGCCTCTCTGTGCTGGGATGTGCTAGTGAATTAGTCCCACACATAGCAGATTGCTCTATCCATGCTGAGACCACGAGGTGACCCATTCACTTCTGTTTTGCAGTCCCTAGGATATTCCTAATCTCCTTTTCTCCTGATTTTACCCCAGCAGAATTCCACCACAAAAATCCTTCCAAACTCTTCTGAGGCAAAGAGGACAGAATAACCTCTGGGAAGAAAATTTAGATCCTAATAACCACTGACTAGAAACTTTAAACCATAAGGTAAAAAAAAAAAAAAGCAGATTCTTTTGAGAAGTAGTTTAAAAGGGACATAAAAATAATAAAAAGGTAAATATTGTAAATATTTTCAAACACCTCTGTAGTAGGAAGCATGTCAGAGAGCCCTGGCAGGCTGAGAAGTGGCTGGGGTGTTAAAGGTGCACTCAAGGAACACAAGACCATAGCAGACAAGCACAAGCAATCCTTTGCACCTCTGATTGCTGTGGCATCAGGTGTTCAGGGGAGCTGCCCCAGCAGAGCTGGGTCTCCCTGGCTGACCAGCCCCAGGACCTGTTGCAAAGAGAAGTGTTGGTTGATGAGGTCCTAGAACAGATTGGTGAAGTGAGTAGCAGCACGTTGCCAAAACCAGGTGGCATCAATGAGGTGTGTAACCTGTCCCTTCAGTTTGCCTTCCTACCAGAGCAGTGGAAACAAGAATCATTTTTAGAGGTTCCTGAAGGACCTGAGGAGCCACAGACATGGAAGGGCAACTTCTTTATGAGCACAATGCTACTAGCAGAAATAGAGTTAACAGACATTTGAAGGAATGTGATGTGATAGCACAAAAGGCACATGACCTTTAAGAGGAAAATCATAGCCATGGAGCTACTTGAGTTCTCAGAGCAAATCAAGGTGCGGTTGAAGGTATGCTGGTCAACGTGGTGAGCTGCCTTCAGAGGACCATTGGACAAAGTCTCTTACTAAAGGCTCTCAGAGAAACTGAGCTGTAGTTCTATCAAAGGAGGGGTCCTACTGTGGATTAATGACATTGAAAGATGAAGAATGGAGATGAATGGTCACTTTCCACTATGGAGGGAATTAACCAATTGAGATTCATAGCATATGCACTGGCATGATCATATGCATAGCATATTCTCACATAATATGAAATAGATGGGAAATAGGAATATGGTAGCATTTGCTTATCTTATCCAATTCTTCAATGACCAAAATAGGCCTGACTGTGAGAAGATACAGAGGGATCTCCTGGGAGGTTGCCTGCATGATAGACAGATGCATAGGAAGTAACACATTTACAGAAAAACAACCCTCACCCCAGAGTTTTTCCCCTGCTATGGCAGCACCTTTGTGAGTTTGGTATTTCAGGCACCTCATTTCATGAGACTTCTTTAGTTCCCTTCTGAGCCTTGGCACTTGTAAAATAACATGCTTACCCCCTCTCTCATATCAAGCACCAAATAGCATCTTGAAATACATAAGAATTACAGGGTTTCCACTACAGTTTTTTTGTTGTAGAACTTGCCTTATTAGGCTAGCATTTAGCTGACTGTGTTTAACCAGCCTTCTGATGCTGCTGCTTGACAGAAAGAGCTGAGGGTAAAAAAAAAAGATGGAAAGAACTGAAGTCAGGAAGTCCAGGAGGTCAGCAAAAAGTGACCTGCAAATACATGGGAGATAAAGGACCCCTTCATATTTCAGAAATAGCAGAGATTTGTTCCCAGCTCTGGTGACTCGTGGATTCTGGAGATTATCTTTGGTCTCTAAACCCTCTGTGTGTGAACACTAACCTCCAGCTGAGCCAAATTTGGGATCCCCTAACTATATTGATGGCCCTGTTTTCTTGAACTCTTTTATGGTCTCTCGAGATTCTGCTGGGAAATGCATTTGCAAGAGGAGCAGATAGGCTGTGTGACTATCCCATGCTGAATTTTTAAGGGTGAAAGAAGAGAGCACCTCAGGGGTACTCGTGTCGTTATATTTAACCCTATGCTTTTACATGAGATCAGCCTTTCCAGTGACTTCCAGACTGTTGGTAGATGAGTCCCTAATAACTGTGTAATGAACACCAAAAAATCATGGAGCATCTGCAGCTCCTGCTGAATTGACCAAACACTGTAGGTGCTCAACACCGTTGCCACATGAGGCCCAACACAGTCAGAACAGCAGTGGTTTCCTCTCTGCACCTGCGATCAGCAGGATCCTCTTAGTCCACCATGGTCCCTCTGACCTTAGTCTGAGCTCAGAGCCTGTCTACAGACATATCTGACATCAAGAGAGGGATATACCATTGGGCAAGCTGTTTTGGGGAAGAAGTTGGCCTGAGAGGCCTTGAAGAAGATCATCTTCTATACAGACCTAAATTAAAGGCACG